TTTTCTTTTATTTTCTTTTTTCCTTTTTTTTTTTTTTAGCAAAATGATCCAATCTGGATTCATGCATGTCCTTTACTTGCTATCTCTTCAATTTTTCATCCTTAGTCTTTCCTTGACTTGCATGACCTTGAGGCTTGCTTTTGAAGGTTACAGGTCAGTTATTTTGTAGACTATCTCTAATTTATTTTAGGGACCACATTGTTATTTCTTCATGATTAAGCCCAGGTCATGCATCTTAGGCAGGAATATCACGGATGTGACGCTATGTCCCTTTATTGCATCCTAACAGGTGGCGTGTGATTTAGTTTTGTCCCATTACCATTGCGGTTTGATGAGTCCTCTTTTTAAAATTGAGATACAATTGATATATAACATTGTGTAAGTTTAAGATAGACATGTGGATTGGTATTTACATATTGCAGTATGATAACCACAGTGTTAGCTAACACCTCCTTCACAACACATAATTACTATTTCTTTCTTGTGGTGAGACCATTAAGATCTAGTCTCCTAGCAACTTTGAAGTAGTAACACAGTATCCTTGACTGTGATCACCGTGCTGTGCACTGGGTACTCTAACTTATTCACCTAACGGGAAGTTTGTACCCTTTGATCAGCAGCTCTGCATTGCTCCCGCCCCCAGCTTCTTGGTAACCACCATTCTACTGTGTTTCTCTGAGTGATCTGAATCCATCCTGTTTGTTTGTTTTAGAGAAAGAAGGAAAGAAATGGCAAAGGTATGGATAATTGAGGTTAAAGAAAGACCCCAAACCTGTCCACTTGATCAATGTTATTTGAATAGTTCAGAGAAATCCTATATTAAGTTGGCAGGTAGCAGAGCTGTAGCATGTCTTTCTTTTTGAAAATTAGCCTTAATGCTGTAATATTTAAGATACACAAAAGGTATAAAGAATAATATAATTTGTTTAATAACTTGATACGTAAAATACAACATATATTTCCAATTGGATTATTACATATTATTTTATATGTAACATATAAAATATATGATGTAATAATTTGAATTCTCAAACCACCCAATTCAAGAATTAAGCCACTAGCCTAATCTCTTGTGAATTCCTTCCTAGCTTCAGTCTACTCTGAATTCTCCCAGAACTGACTGACGCAGGCTCTCTGGACTAAGTGACAAGATCCAAGGTTTGGGGGGCAATTAGATAATTAGATTCTAATTCAGAACAGTCACGGATATTCGCTTTTCTGGAATAGCTACTTAGCTTTTTCTGACATCTGGTGGTCACACATGGAATTGCAGTTGCTCATATGTCAGGATTATTGTTTTGAAATTTTTTTAATATAAATTTTATTTCCGAATGTAAAATCCAATTTTCTTTTATTTTTAATTAACTTTTAAAATTTTATTAAATGTATTGGGGTGACATTGGTTAATAAGATTATAGAGGTTTCGAGTGTACAATTTTATAATGCATCATCTGTATATTGCCTTGTGCTCACCATCCAAAGTCATGTCTCCTTTGTCACCATGTATGTGACCCCCTTTACCCTCCTCTACCTCCCCCTCTCCGATTTTCTTAAGTGGGACCTATTATAACTTATCTTTACAAGCTTGCTTGTTCTACAAGTGATACCATGCATTGGTGAGAACTCTTAAGTATTAGTTGAGTATATTTATAATTTTTCAGTCTTTTCAATATAGTTTCTTGGTGTGTGTGTTATCCTTTGTTAATTCAAAAAATTTATTGCTAATATGTGACAGGCACTGAGGTAGATGCTAGCAGGAAGAATAATCATCTGGATGGCAAATGAACCTAGTGCTTCTGATTATACGCCATGAAAAAGGAAACCTCTTTATTAATCTATATAAAAGGAAACCTAACATAGTAAATGATATTTACTGATTGCCTATTATCTGCTGGGTGAACACGTTATTTCCTAGAAAACATGCCTTGTTTGAAATGTAAATAGTAAATGACAGTTAATACTGGGCTGTTTGGTAATCATTCTTGAGATATCTGTGGATGCTAAATTTGTTGGTGAAAGTTTGATAAAGAATAGGCTGTTTATGTAATCTCAAAGTATCTCCAAAAAGTCCACCCATTACTTAGTAATTACAATGGGAAAAATAGTAACTTTACAGTGGAGAAACCGGGCCACTCCACATTAGCAAAGTGGTCGAAGTTAACATCACAATACAAACCAACATCATGTGCCTCCTGAGGTGACACTCTAAGGGTTCATTACTTCTGTAGTGTTGTGCAAAAAATATATATAACCTGAATGTACTCATGAGAAAGCATGAGACAAACTCAAATTGAGGAATATTTTATTACAAAATAGCTGGCCTGTATTTTTCGAACATATTAAAGTCACGAAAGACAAAAGACTGAGAAACTTTCAGTTAGAAGGATATTAAATATATGAAAACTAATTGCAACATGTGATCCTGGACAGGGGGAAAATAGCTATAAAGTACATAATTAGTATGTCTGTCTACCTATCATCTATCTCATTATAAAACAAAGGAGGCGAAAAAGAAAGCAGTTGGCAAATATGGATAGAGTGTATGCGAGTTCTTTTTACAATTCAGTGTCCTAAGTTTGAAATTATATATAAAAAAGTTAACCGAAAAAAGTGTTTCCAAATGTATCAAGCTCTTTGAGGACAAAGGACTGGGCTCTTAAAAAATGATTTTTCATCACGAAATCTATGTATGTATGCTTTTTAAAGGAGGAAATGTAGAGAAGCAAAAAGACGACCATCAACCACCCACACTTGTACCGCAGAGCAGCAGCTGCCCGGGAGGACGGAAATGAATGCTATTGCAACGTAATATCTGCAAAACGATACAGAAAACACAAGCAAGCGTGGAAGGGCATGGCTTAGGGAAAAAAGGGGAAAGAGCAGTGGGTTAGCTTTGCGGTCGGGAAAAGCTGCGGCTTTAAAATCGAGCGGATGAGTAGGCGGGCTACGACTTCCAAGGAGGGCGACCGGCGGGGTTGGAGGAGGATCCGCGCAGGTCCAGTTCTCCCCTGGGCCGGTGACTATGATGCCCGGCACGGGGCGGGTGTCTGGTGCACGATTCTGGGCTGAGGGCACACAAGGCCAGCTTAGGGTCCCGTTCGGCGCGCAGGGCGCCCTCGCCCGGACCCCGCCACCGAAGTGCGTCGCCCCCGCGCACGGAGCTCGGGGCCGCTGACGCACTCGGGCCTGGGGGAGGGTTCGGTTTCCAGGGCAACAAGCAGGGGCCTCCGTCCTTCCGCTCGCTCGTATGCGTCACTTCCGGCCGCTCGCTTCGGATCGGTTCCGATTGGAATCTTTTTCCCTCGCCCTGTAGGGGCGTCGTGTTGGGGGCGATGTTAGGCACAATGAGCCTTCGACTCTGCAGGGGAAGCAGGTGGGGGAGGACAGGTGGGGCTCACCTTCATCTGCCAACCACCCTTTCAGATCCGCTCCCTGGGCCCCGCGGGAAAGGGACACCGGGCCGTCGCCAGTCTGGAGCATGCGCACTGAGCGAGGCCGCTTGGCTCCCCTGGTTCCGGGATTTCCGCGCGGCCGGAGGGAATCGGGGCGGGGCGGGCGGGCGAAGGCGTTGATTGGCCAGTTGGAAGCCCGGCTCTTGGCCCCGCCGTGGACCCCTGTGGCCGGCACTGGAGTTTCATTCATTCGTTCCGTCACTGGGTGGATGGATTCTCTCGTCCTTCGCGGAGAGAGCGTTGAGGCAGAGCTTGTGCTAGGCGCTGGGGTTCACAGATCAGTGGGACTGACTGCGGTGTCCCCTCCTTTCTTCCTCTGCAAGCTTATCGCCTCCCTTCTCCACTCAAGCCTGGTGTGGTGGGGTTCTTGCACAAGGGGGTGACACTCAGCCCGTCTCATTTCCAGGACATTCCCTGAAGGCTCCCCATCTGTGAAAGCATCAGTTGAACACCGAAAGGCCTGAGGTGGAATCCTGGCCAGCTGCTCAATCACTGAGCCGCTTCCCTCACTTCACATTGATCTCTGAAAGAAGACCGGTTATTTGCTGAGGGGTTTTGAGATTTAAAATGAGCTTTGGCGCTTATCTTTGGGTTGAACCCCACCTTTGCGCCTCATTAGTTTGTGTGACTTTGGGGCCTTGAGGGGAGGCCTCTGTTTGTTTAGCGCTGGCTGAGACCTGAGTCTGAATAATTCTAGGGTTCAGGATTTAGTAAACCAAATCCAAACTTTCGGTTCCAGATCTAAAGCACCCTCTCTAAAGACATATTGGTTATGAAACTGACATTGTAAATATTCATTAACTGATTCCTGTGTCTTATTTCTCAATTGTTCCCCACTCAGGAAGTGTTATCCCTTGGTCCCTTTACATTAGAACAACCTACTTTATAGGGTCGTTATGAGGTTTATATGAGAAATCTGTGCCAAGCACATTGCACGCTACCTATCAGGTAAATGATTGTACTATTTTGAGGGAATAGATGTCCTGCTCAAGTGGTTGGCTCTTAGTGGTGCTTATAAATAAATGTATTCCAGTAAATGAATCTCTTCCCTCTTGGCTTGGGAACTCGGGGTGCGGAGAGCAATGCCAGGACAGCAGGCATAAACTGGGATTGTCCCAGACAAATCAAGATATATGGTCACCCCATCCCAAAGCTGTATAAGTAGCATGTGACAGAATTGAGATGGAACTAGATCTGTCCCCCTGTCTCAAAGTGCTTTCCCATACTTGACTTTATTTGACACCAATAAGGGCCCGATGAAGTGCTCATCCCCATTTCATAGGTTGCAGACGGTGAGAGAATGTAGTTAGTGATGGAGTGGGTGCTCTGACCTGCACTTTTGACTCATGTTTTAGTGACAATTCTCAACTCCTTTGAACACTGGTCCTCATCTTTGAGACTGCACGATAGGTAGTTTCAGGGAAGCAGATTCTGCCTCATTTCACCTCCATTAAGACTTTTGTGGAGGGGCTGTGGAGTGGGTGTGAGGTTGGATCTGATGATTTAGAGCCTCCTTCCAATCCAGCTTTATGTGTCTACAAACTCCTTGAGTGCAGGCTTGGTCTAGTCTTTAAATTCTCAACATTCAGAGGAGGTGTTCAGGAAATTTAAAACTACAGCAGGAACGCAAACTCAGGAGCGAGATGACCTGGGACTGGTCTGGACACCCCCGTTTGATGGAGTGTGGGGCCACGGCAAGCCCTTATGTTCTCTGAGCTTCAGTTTTCTCAAAGACAAAATGCAGATTAGTCTCTTCACAGCCCCCCCCCCCCCGCCCCCAAGATTTGCTGGGGCAATAAATTAGTATAAAAGTGTGTACATTTTAAACAGAGACACATTGTACAAAAATAGCAATCCTTCCTTTGGCCAGCTTTCGTTCCTTTCCAAATTGCTTGTCTTATCCATTTATAGAGAGAAAAAGAACAGAGAAGGACTTCAGAAAAAGTACAGGCCGTGGAGTCAGACAGCCCCAGATTTGAATCCCTAAATAGCACCAGCCACTTGAGTGACCCCAGCCAAGTGGTGTCCTTTCTGGACTTCCATGCTAAAAATAGCTACTCTGCACGTCTCAATGAAGACCTGGGAGCTAAGTATGGGGTTCTATTCTTGGCGCACAGACCTCCAGAAAAGGTGGCCTCTTTTAATGTCTGTTTTCTGTGCTCTGTAACTGTCAACCTGCGTGGTTAACAATATGGAGCAGCCACCGTAGGCAGCTTTTTGTGGTGTCCCGGAGGCACTTTCTCTCGGCTCTTGGGCACCTCGGCTGAAAACCCTTGGCACACTGGAAATCCACTCCACCTGTTTTGCCCTGAAGCTGTGTTCTGTTTATAACTCATCCTTACTCCTCGGAAAACAATTCAATAAAAACTCAATTGGTTTTCCACTGGCTCTTGTCAGGGATAAGGGATAGCATATTATTATTTTATAAAAAATATAAATAATAAAATAAGTCATAAAACAGCGCTGGGCACATAGCAGAGAGTCAATAAATGCTTGCTGGCTTAAAGCAAAAGTGATGGCTCAGGCGGTTTTTCCATGGCTGCTGCTGCTGTATCCGCTGAGAGACCACCCCTGTCCTCCATTATATTTTTTAATTGAAAAAGAAATACGTGCACTTGGTAAAAAAAAAAAAAAAAAACAAAGACAAGGGGGAGAGGGGCTTCTTGGTCCTCGGCTCTCTCATTCTGCCCTGGAAATGCCACTGGTCACAGTTCCTGTGCATCGTCCCATGTGTGCTATGCACATTTCGATGTATGTATGTAAATTCCTCTTTGTGTTTATTTATTTTTAACATGGAGGGGTTTAATTTCTTAATTGGCTTCTGCCATTTCCTAGCAAGTTGGGCACCTTGGTCCTGGAACTAAGGACAGCTGTCCCACATCCAGAGGCCTGTTGGGAGCCCTTGATGTGGATTGATGGCCGGAGCCCCGGAAGTTGAGAGTGGTTTTACCCACGAGGGATGGGGGGGCGACAGCAGCACACGGGGCAGTCTGCTCCCGGACCAGGGCTCCCACCGGCCACCTCACACCCTGCCCAGCCCCTAGGACTGTGCCAAGACCGTGCGTGCCTCAGTTCCCCAACCTGAAGGGGAACTTAGACTTCCCTTTAAGCGACGGCGACAACGGCTGTGGGTGCTCGGTGCCCCTGGAAGGACACGAAGCCGGGCGGTAGGGGGTTCGCAGGGGCCTTGGCCAGAGGACTCCACCGAGGAGGTGAAACTGAGCTGCCCGCCTTAAGGGGCTAGAAAGTTGGCGGGACGCAGGACAGGCCCCTCCTCCCGGTGTGCGACCCCTAGAGCGAAAGCTTTCCGCGGCGCCCCTGCTACTCCGCCTCCGTCCGCCCGTGAGGGTTAGGAGCTCAAGTCCTGGGCGGTCCCACCACACGCAGGCGGTGCCGAGTGCGGGAATGTAGCACAGCGTGCTGCAGATGAGCTGGACTGGAGCCGGGACAGAGTTTGGACGACTGCAAAAAGGAAATCGAACAGTACATAATAGCAATGGCCACGGCCCCCTTCGGGGCGGCAGAGCTTCGGAAACGATACTCCGGCCTCCTTTACTTGTCACAAGTGAAAAGAAAAGTTTTTCTTCCAACGAGAGCCGTGTTCCTCTGCGCAGACGCTCCCAGCGGCGAACCCACTGCCCGGTTACCCGTCCCCCTTCTCCTCCCTCCTCCCGCCCTCTGTGTCCCTCCGACCACGTTTCCTACCCCCTCCCGCGTCTTCCCCGCGGCTCCCCGCGCCCTCTCGGGCCCGCCCCCCTGGCCCCCGGCGTCTCCGAAAACGCG